TATATATATACGTAGAACGATTGAATGAGCCTGAGACAGTACTAACAAAAATACCGGCATACATTAGATCTGACCGGTGAATTCTATCTGCTTAATTATCACGTACGTCGTTTTCGCAGTTGTTGTTGTTGTTTTATTATGCTGATAATGATGGCAGCGTTGTTGCAACTGCTGCGGAACCTCATGATGACTGTGTGAGGTTGTTTTGGCCTGTAAGCATGGCGCCGTTCCTCACCAATTTGCCACGATTGTTGCTGCCGCTATTAATGGTATTGTTGCTGCAGACGCTGATACTAGCAACACTACCAGGAGCAGCACGTCTTTACACCAGGTAGGGCAACGACATGTGGGCAAAACATGTAGACATCGACAAACAAATGCCCCGCCTAACCGTCGTCATAGGATCTAGGTGGCGAGCGGACGTGGAGAGCGTCCAGCAGCATCAGCTCCTTCGTAGTTCATCTATTTTCATTTCCTCGTCCCCCTCGTTCCCCCAACCGCTCCTCAGCCCGAGTCCACGCAAAGCCATGCGTTGTTTCTACAGCAAAAAGAACTCTACGCGTTACGTACTGCTGCTGCGACCGTTGCTCTCTAAGTTGTCATTCATTCCGTCAAGGTTCAAGAGCCTTCAACAGGCCAACCTAGCACTGCTGTTATGGCTAGTCTTATTTAAAAAAAACTGGGTACGAGTAACTGTCCCGCGCAACCCGCCAAGCGGCCACTTGCGGAAGGACCGACTCGACGACCGTAGTCAGAAGAGAAATAGAAGATTGATGCGCCACGGCACGCACGCAGGCACGCACGCACACATAGAGATAAAAAAGCAAAAGAAGGAAAGGGCGAGAAAGGGCTGCACAGATAGCGGCAGCCAGGCACACTAGCTTGTTACTGTTGCTTTGGCTGATGTTGGTCTATCTTTATTTGGGTGCTATCCATTCAATCCTTCATGTCCACCAGCTGAAGACCGGCCGCTATAGCAAAAGGCGCCTTCTGTTAGCAATAATAGCCTGACTATATCATCTAGCGCACCTGTTACGGTTAAGGTCTTCTGCCCTTGGTGCCAGACCGAACAAGCCTAGTCTGAATGCCACCTATTTCCCATTCGGCCGGACCTCGCAAGTT